TTAATCTCATTGAAACAATGTGAAACTAGCGCTAGGCCTAGAAGAACGGAAGAACGGAAAGCTACGGGCGGACATGCGCAAGCCGCGTTTTCGTCTCTCCCGGTTCGGTGTTTTCCGCGTGTAAAAAAAAAATGTATCACAATTTGCGACCGAGAGCGGTCCAGCGGAGGAAGGAGGAAAGTAGCGGGAAAAGCTAGATGAAGCGGAGTTTCCGCTATTTAGTGGGAAAGTGGCAGCTATGTTAAATGAAACTTGGCAGCCCAGTACATTTTCTAGTGCAGAATCTAGTCCTGCTTTCAGATATTTCATAGCTATCCTACTTTTTGAGTTATGAAGACGTTTATAGGTAAAAATGTGGCGATTTTCGGTGCGTTTTGAGACAATATTTGTCATAGCTCGCCTATTTCTTGGAGTATGTAAATGACACTTGGCAGTCTAGTAGTTTTTGATGCAGAATCTAGTCATGCTGTCAGATTTTTTAATATCTATCATACTTTTTTAGTTGTAAAGACATTAACTCACTTCAGACGGCTCACACAACAGTTGCGTGACCCCCGCCGCGACGGGTCTCACAAGCCCTGCGTGACCAACTTTGGAATTTTTTTTCCGCTCTACAAATCACGCACGGATCGCGAGACCCGCCTCGTACCCTTGTTTGGCAAAGCCTGAGCTACTTAAGACTTCGTTTCGTATCTCTGGGGCCGGTAGTTTTTAAGTTATTGAAGGTGAAGGACAGTGACCCCAACTGGGGTTGAACAGACCGGAACTCGCGCTTTGTTTTTTTCTATACAGCTGATAGTAATCCGACAGTCGCGTCGTAGTTCGTAGTAACGGTCGAAGAAGTCGCATGAACAAGAATCACATAATTTCGCCGTTTTCTATACTTTTGTACGTTTTACTAGTTCTAGTGTCTCAGAATATGATGTGTCTAATAGTTAGGATCCTGGATATGTACCCGAACACGGCCCGAGTCGTAGTTCTAGGGCTAGATCTAGCACTAGTACCGGTGTTGTTTTTCGCGCAACGAAATCACAACGTCGTGCCGTACATCTGTCTCATGTAATTCAGTGTATGGGTCTGAATCAATGCACAGACCAGCTTTTATATTTTCACCAAACACTCGCACATGTATACAAATCAAACCAGAACTCTTTGAACTTTTATTTTTGTTGTTGTCGTGAATTTCATTCTACTTGTCATGTCTCTGGAAATTTTTCGGAAAATCAAATTCATGCCAATTTTTAAAAAATCATACAAATTAAAGTATTAGACTTAGACAACTTTAGTTTTTTGTATTAGATTAAGCTTGAATGTTACGTTACTGTCTCAAAAAATAATTACAATAGGGTAATTCTGAGAGTTGTGGTGATTTATTGAAATACCCCCAAAAACGCCAGTCTTCAACGCTTGTGACTGGTGAAAGGGCCCAGTCGCAAGTGAGTTAACAGGTAAAAAAGTGGCGTTCTTTACAGATTTACAAAGATTATCAGTCATATCTTCTCCCAAAGTCATGACATTTGAATGAAACTTGGCAACATAAAAGGTTCGCCCTTGCCAAGCAATGATCTGGATCAATTTGTCACAAAAATGTAAGTAGAGAATTGGATTGATTAGTCTAATAAATCCAGTTCTCTACTAGTAAAAGCATGCATACTTTGTTATAGAAAATAAGATCGTCTCTGTGTATATCCATTGTTGGTCAGTGTCCTATTGTGTGGTAGATTAAGATGTGTTTAGATAATGTTTACAAGTAATGGGAATATTTCCCACGTGTAGGCTACAACTCATACTATAAATGTAACATATTATTTACCCCCCCCCCCCCCCTTCTCTCTTACGCACACACACATGCATGCGCGCGCACTCACGCACGCGTGAACGATAACAATGTATAAACGGAACTATCTTCCCAGACTGGACTGAATAAGTACCGTACTCTTTAATAACAATCTTAATGGCTCACTTTTCCAATCAGAGCGCAGAGGGCGAGTCCAAGTGTGTGCTTTTCCCCAGAGGGGGAGAATAGGCTTTCTTAACGCAAACACAATGCCATACCACTTCTCAAGATGTTTGCTTTTCTGTTTCTATTCTTCTGTCATGCAATCAAGCAAATAAAAATGACTACATCTATTGTATTGTGACTAAAATGCAACAAAAACGCAAGTTATCAAGGCCCCCGTTTACTGATGACGTCACTTATTGGAAATTTCCAGGCTGTCCACCCAGCACGCGCAAATGGCAATGTCGCTTTTTCCCTTAGTTACTCCCACATTTTTAAAGATTACGCCAAAACCGCTAAACACAGAAGCATGAAATTTTAAGGGAATAAAGAAAAATGATGTACAACGTATCAGTCGGTTTGACAAATCACAGCTCCGAAAAACCTTCAAAGTGCACCACATCAACCACTTTCTCAAACGTTTTCGACTGCTTCTAGGATGGGTACAATGTTGTCAAACTGCATACTACCAGATTGACCTCTTTTCTGATTGGCTGCCAAGTTTCATTCATATCCATTCATGAGAAGCGGCGTGAGAGCGAGTTGAAGACAACAACCTTTGCGTTAGTGCGTCCCACGAAACACCCCCGCGGCGGGGGCCAAAAATCGGCAGAACAAAATGCGCTCGGTGGGCATTGCTACATAGTTATATTTTTCTAAAACTACATTCATTTTTCGTTATATTTTTAATTTTTCAGGATTTTTTAAATTTCATTTCAAGTACTTTTTAATGTGTTTTTTAAACTCTTGTTTTTATGGGAGGTGGGTCCCTTCCCCTTGCTTAGGATCTAACAATAGACTTCCTGTCCTAACCCTTAGGATTTAATGTAGTGTGTTAAAAATTAAAATGGCTTTCCAATTCTCCCCCCTGCTAGCGAAAGTCCCAGTCCTTGTCTTATTCAAACTCCTCACATCTGCCTAAGTTTTAGTCAACTGCTCAGAAAAAAATAAACTGACATTCTTTATCCGATAGTTGCTCACATTCCTTCACTTTTATAATTTCAAACTAACTCAACTTACTGATCCTGCAGCCATTCTCTCAGTCACCTGATCACACCTCTCAAACTTACTGGGTATTTCAGTTGTTCTTCCCATCCTTCAGCCACCTGCACATCGGTTTCTCACTTTATTTCCACTCTGTCTCATCTGCATACCATACCTTTCGACAAGTCCTTGCACACGGTCCCCTTCAACCTTACTGAGTCCTCACTTGGTCCTTTCAATCCTCTCGCCACCATGACACACTTTTCAAACTTACACTGGCGAATCATTGTCAGTCGTTCTTGCCATCCAGCTGCCACCATCGCACTTTTCAAACTGACATTCGTATCCTCTCACTCTTTCACCCAATCTTGCTCTCAAAATCTTTCAAAAGTACAGCTTACAGTAGTTGGCAAACACTAGCACAGGACCAGGTAGGAAAGGAAAAACAAAATGAAATCTCTACCCAGGTCCGAAGTGGAACTTTCTTTTCAGTGTCGTTTTTATCTGACTAGCCTATCAAACAGGGATGCCAATGCATAGAAAGAAAACCAATTTGTTATTTCATCAACTTTTAAACCTGTACAATAAAATAAAGATTTCTCTCTCCAGTCTTCGCTTCAAAAAAATCAATCGAGTCAGCCACACGAGGGCCAACAGCCACAAGTGGATCTTAACGTTCCAAAAAAATGAATACTTGACATTTCTCTACCCCTGAGTTAAAGCCAATTATATCATATCGATAGAGTTAAAGGACCTAAATCTGACAGGACCCTCTCCCTTCACAACCAATGCACATATACTGTCATCTCCACACTTCAAATTTGCACAAGGCCCTTACTATTCAACTGTGAAGCAAGCCCCCCCGCGAGCGTCCAAGATTCATTCTCTTGAGTTGCTAAAAATATCAATTACTTTCGTTTACTTTCAAACTTTACGCAAATGAACAAACAGAAACAATAATACACATCTGAATAACAACTTTGCTCAAATTTTTATGTCTGCTTAACTCCCCCCCACCCCCCAATATCCAAACGAAAAGTGCCCTCTTGACTCAACATAGGAATTGTTACAGTTCACAAAAAGTAAACAGCAAACAATCTAGATGGTGGGGTTTTTGTCATTCAATTGTTAATGACCATGCCGTAAAGTGTCATAACCGAGGTAGTTTTCCAAGAAAGACATGATATTCCAGTGGCTTTCTGGATATAAAAAGTCACGGTAAGGCACCAGTGAATTCCCTATTGAATATTCTTACAATGAACGTTTCATTGATCTACAACACGAAAGGGTAGCTCAATCGATGTGAATAAATTCATTCAAATAAAGCATGTGAATGTGCAGTAGCCAGTGCAGGTTTGTTAGCATAGACAATATGTTAACCTCCTTTCTCTATAGCGTTATATCATTTCTCTTTGTTCACTTGCCGATTTCATTGAGATAGTTACAAGCTCTTACTGTACTCCTACAAACCATAAACATTAAAGTATAAGAGTCTCATCACCTCAACTCATGTTTTCATTCGAAAGTTTGCCTCCAAACTAAAGAGCAAACAAGCCCCCTGGACTCACAGGTTCAAACATTCTGTTGTTGCACCACTACCACCATCTGTAAAGACCGGCTTCCATTCATCGCCTCGCCATTTCTCTGTCTTCTTTCAACCATAAATTCAAAAACACTTGCAACTACCACATGAACAACTGAACAATGCACACACACACACAAAGGCTTCACAAAAATACGAAGCGCTAAAATGCCTCTTAATACGGAGTTCCTTGCTCAAGTAGAAAGAAACAAAGGCACTACTGATGCAAAGTTTCATCCGGGTTCATACAGCTTGCGTACTTTTCATCATCATTATTCCATGTGTACTCAACACAGCAGCAGAACTCTTGATTCTTCACACCAGTCTTTCTCAACATAGTACATCAGGTACACACACACATATCCAAACAATACAATCAAATCCACAGATACACATGCAAGCCAAACACAAAACCACTCAAAAAAGACAGCCTCTCTTCATTTGAAGACCATTTAATTTTTTTTATTTTAGAAAACTGTCTCATTGAACAATGAAATTTTAACGGTCACACCTATACCAACACAAACAGTAATGTTACATTCAAATTCATTTTGTTTGTTTTTGTCTTTTCCTGTTGGTTGACAGTAACATTGCAGAAATTCAAATTTTTAGTCAAGAAACAATGCCAATAATAAATTTATTGTGATTTACAAAGTTCCAAAGCGCTCTGATGAACTGTTTGAGAAGCGAATTGCACGGATTGCTTGATTGAAAACTGATCTCTTCAACTGTACTTATGAGAGGTGAAATTTGTTTAGTTGAAAGGGCTAATGGTAATGCAGACTACCCTCACTTTGAACAGGTTATTTTGAGGAAGCAGTGTGGATGTAATAAATGGTCTTCTGTAATCATTCTCTGCTCTCATTCACTGAGCTGGAAAGTTTACACTCGATGCAATCTCCCACTGCTGAAAACCTTTGAGCACTCAACAGACCAAAGAACTTCCACCCACACTGATCAATCTTCCACAAATCACTTCAAATCCAACCGCTGTCTCACATTGCATACCCTGCGCACAAAGCGTTCACCTCTACAAGTCTCAACTCTCATTTTCAATCAAACCAGCATTCAATCCAGGAGTATTCGATAAATAACCAGGACAGCAATCAAGCAACCCATTGCTAAAAGTTTCATTCATAACTAACCTTTTCCCAAATGTTTTTGCCCCTAAAAATGACCCATATGTTTGTACTGCATGTCCTATCACACGGCCGCAAACAAGCCCCTATAAATACTATTGTACTCCCAAAGAATGCACTGAAATTACACACAAACACAACACAAAGAACCATGTATGTACACATTGTAAAATGATGGGGGGGGAGGGAGGAGAGCAAATGGTTCACTACATATAATTCTTACAAAAAGACCAAATCATGACCGAGAAAATGAACATGGGCCACGCCACCTTTACGATAAAAACTTAACTCGTTTGAGACGTGCTGGAAAGAGAAAGGTGAATGAAAAGGGGTTGTTTTCCTGCAAGTCCAAGCACTTCAATTTGTCACACATATTAGCTATGGAAAGGATGAAAATAATATGAACAATGACAACAAAAGTTTTCGTGGCAACTTTCAAAAGCTGCAAAGTATTATATTTGAACATCCATATTCTCAATCTTGAATTTGAACTCGTACTTGCCACAAGGCCGTTATCATCTGCTGCTCCCTGTCAGTCTTTCTTTCTTCCCACACATTTCTTATCCTTTCTTCCCAACTCACTCTGCCCTTTCTATTCAACTCCCTTAAAAACCTTGCTCACCATTCAAGCACCAGCGGAGGGGGAAAGAGGCGTTTAACTCCAACCCCCACTGCCCCGGCCGCCGTGGGAGCCCCCCCAGCCACCATAGTGACCACCAGAGGTAGTGCTGCCTTCACTGCCCCACCAGTTGCCCCCGGAGCCACCGCCACCGCCTCCACTGCCTCCGCCCATGCTCTGGCCAAACCCACCCTGGTTGGAGGGCAGGGCCATGGGAGGTGGAGCCTGATGGTCTCCCCCTCCCATGTTACCACCGGTACCTCCCTGACTAGGCCCCTGGTTCATGCCTCCCCAGCCACCCTGGTTCTGGAGCATGGCCTGAGCTGCAGCCAACATGGCAGAGTTCAGCAAGTTCATACCAAGATTGTTGGCCATTCCTCCTTCAGCTCCATTCGCCACTTTGCCACCAACTGGTCCTGGGCCACCTTGTCTCTGATTCCAGCCTCCCTGGCCATAACCAGCCTGTCCAAAACCTTTACGTTCAGCTCCCTAAAAAAAGATTAACCAAAAAAGTGATATTAAAATTAATTGTATAAAAAATAAATACTTTACACAATTACACTTCAAAAGATCTCAGCCCGTGTTTAAACAAAACAATCAGGAATACTACAATAAGTGTACTTTAGTGTGACCATTATAGTCCAAAATTCTGAACAAGCATGGAATTTTTTTAAGAGGCTTTTTCAAAGCAAAGTCTTCTTACAACACAAAGTTTTCACTCTATAGTAACAACAAAAAGATCAGACAAACATAATTCTATGTGTCACAACGTGGTGGAATCAGGCACTCGTAAATTTTTGGGCATATTATAAAGTTATTGATACCATCTTATAGCCTGCCCATTTGCCTCGCTTTTGATGAAAAAATATCCATTTTATCTTGGAAACAAGTCAAGACATTGGCAATTGAAGGAGGCGGGGGTCGCCTGGTTTCGGAGGTAAAATTAGCTAGAAAATGGCTCCATAAGTTGAGACATTTCCTAAGCTTGAGAGTCCGTGGAAACCTAAATTGCAATCTTTTATGCCATTAACCAGTGTTTTTCAGTAAAACCCACACAAAAATGTGTTCTTTAACCCTAACTCTGGCAAGTGGTTTCAACAGGAATGGCAGGGCTAATCAGCCAAAACATGCACATGCTTTACAAATCAAATTTATGGACTTGCATAAAATAAAAACCCTACAAAAGTATATATTTTCTGAAAGATAATTGAATGAACTTTTATATTTTGCCATTGAACATATGATTTTATTTTATTTTTAAGGGGTTATGTAACTTTGAAATCCAAGATGGCTGACATAAAAAATTTACATGCTCATTAGCATATTCACCAATCTAATGTCTTTCTTGTTATAAAAAATGTGAGATGGCAGAAATATGGGTTTTTCAATTACCTTTCAGAAAATGTATAGTTTTATAAGTTTGAGAAGAACAGGTAATGAGTTATGACTTTCAATTTGTCATGTGGTCTGTTTCGAGCGCAGCTGATACTCGCTAATTTCATACAATACTCAACATAAAAACACTCTAAGTACAACCATGTGGTTTTCAGCAATCTGCTGGTAGTCTGTAATAATTAGTATAGCAAAAGGAACCTACTTTACTCTCTATAGCTCTCCTTTTTCTGCCCCTATTAGACTCCCAAAGAAGTAGAAATCTAGATCTAGTGTTCCATTTGAATTTGAAAGAGAAGTTGGGGCAGGATGAGAACTGGTACATGTATCCCAATTGTATGTCAGATCTAATCCCACTCTTGACTGAACACCAATAAATCCACCACTAACAGTGTCTGAATTACTTTCCCTAGTCAATTCACTTTCAAATGTATCCAAAAAAGATCGATTTTTGGCCATTTTAGACCCACACAAGTGATAGATCTACACTGGCATTAGTGGCTTGTGGCCTGATCAACAAGCTTTCAAAACATCCCTCTGTTTTGAAAGCAAAATACTCTTCTCCTAAGCCAGAATGGTAGAAATATTCTGATTGGTTGGAGGTTAGCCCTTTAGCCCATCAGAAATCACTTTAGGAAGCCCCAAATATTTAGTTGGAAGGCAGAAGCAGCAGTTTACTATATGGTCCTATGAGATCGGCCCTGCCACTTTCATGGCAGGAAATGGGCCGATTTAATCAGCCCTTGCCAGAGTTAGGGTTAAAAGGCAAGAAAGGTGTTGATCCAAAAAACAAAGTCAATAAAAATCCCCAAACCAGGGTAAAAACGCTGGTCTCTTCACTTTCATGATTTTGATGAGCGCCTGATTTCAACACGCTGCCTCACACATTATAATGTCCCACAAAATACTTTCTCGTTACCATGAGCCATTCATGTTAGTGTCTGCCAGAAGAAAAAATTGTGCATCAGTCATTAAGACGATTTCATCCGATATCCATATAATATCAAACAGCAGGGGCGGGAGGGGGGATAACATTCGCTTGTGGACAAGTGCTTTCACATTTCACTGTCAGAATCCATGGGAGGGTGTGCATTCCAGGAACACAATTTTAACAAGACTACAGACAAGAAGCAATCACACAGAATCAATGCATGTACTAACACCAGACAAATTTCACAGTAGGGCATGCAAATTTATGGGTATTGGTAGCTTACTTCCTGTACTTGTACCAGTCGCAAGTTATAAATCTGAAGCCACGGGAAATCAATCTTAAGTACACTTCATACATGAGATACAGTGGAACTCTGATTCAACAAAGTCGTCGGGCTTGACCTTCCATTTAGTTGAATTTTAGTGTTCGTTATAGCAATCAGGTTTTTGTGTAGACAATTACAACAACGAACAAGTAATGTGAAATATATTCGACTTTCTCATTTAAAAGTAGTCTTATTTCAAATTAGCAGCATTTTCGTTTCTTTGATGTCATACCGAATAAAATTCTAGAAAACCAGTATTGTTCAAAGGGGAATATATTAGTTCAAATGTACACCCGTGTCATCCATCATCAATAACATACTGTTACCCGAACAAACCGTGTATTATATAACGCCTAGCATACAGCAATATTCGATTCCACAGTATTCATGCAATTCATTAAGTAGATACGTCAAGACTAATCATTTTAATATTGATCAGTAGCCGAGGAAAAAATTTTTTGTGAAGCCTCTGCATCTTTACAGACACTCCACGCCCGGACCCCCCCCCCCCCCCCCCCCCGATACACGCATACAGCTACATGTGTTCTGGCCGCCCATCCGACCTCCACACACACCGAGACCTGAGCATACCAACAATGTTTGAAATGTATGAAAGAAGGGCGCTAACATAAACAGGCTTTACTAAGCGAAAAACGGTTCATGATGCAGGTGCCATAGACGGCTGCAGAAGAAAGAAAAATGAGCGAAGCCACTTCAGCAGGGGCTGTTCACACTGCAAAGCATTTCTCAGAGATTTGCGGAAAATCACAGGGACTTTCCGCAGAGGCTAAAAATTACTTCCATTTGGCGCCATTCTTTCGGACGAGGTGAATGTTTTGTCTTGTTTTCCAAGTTTTTTCCTTCCAAGTCTCTTTCGCCCTAAGCTCATCAACGTCGGAATCCATTACAAATCCAACCTAATTACACCCGTTTATCTGTCATATGTCTATTTTGTTTATATTGATTGCGAGACTGAAAGACTGCAACACAACGTGTAGCACGTGTTGGAAATGACATTAGGGACAAAAATAGCATATTCTTTTGAGATTGTCTTGTTTGATGCAGATGAATGCTTTGAGCTGTCCAAATGACGAATTCGTGGTCTCACAGGATGTTCCAAAGTTGGGTTAGTTGGGAGACATTTTTTCAACTGATTTCTTTCTTATTTTCTTATTTCCCTTATCTATAGTATATTTTTTTTTTAAATTTTTAGATCCACATGATTTTTGTGGCAAGTGAATTCAATAAAATGGATTATTATACCAAATTTGGTGATACTCATAGATTGTGTTGTTTGCACCAAGGTAAGGTTACATTTCACTTTTTTCAAAAGCCTTTGTTTGCTGTCTCTCTAACATTTCTGAATTCCTCTTTAAAAGACCTTTCCAATTATATAAACATAACCCTTTGAAAAAGTTCAAAATCCTGGAAAAAATTAGGAAAGTGGGAAATCTGCCTCATATTGATTTTTATCAAATAAAAAAAAACAGGGAATCAAATAGAACTCCTTTCGTTGAATCCGAGTTTCCATTGAAACCACATTTCACTGTACTGGCTTACAGCACAGGCAAGACAAATCACAGGTAGTGAATAACTACTCAAGGCTTATAGAAAGCAAAAGAAATATTCGCTAAGCTGCACAAATCAAATCAGGTGCTGGTGCTTCAGGGCAAACTCACTTTTACGTACCTTATCAAAAGATTTTGGGGCAGCGCTGCTCACATGGACACTGGCACCTTTGATGATGTGGTCTTCTCCACAGAGGTTCTGGGCAGTCTCAGCATCAGCAAAAGTGACAAATGCAAAGGCTCTGTAGGGCTTGGGGATAAACACATCCACAACCTCACCAAACTTGCAGAAGTAGCCACGCAGGTCATCAGCACTGATGTCTTCAGTGACGCGTCCAATGAAAACCTTGCGGTTCATCATCTGGTTGTTTCCTTCCTGCCATGTGGACAAGGGCAACAAAACTTGTAAACATCAACAAGTAAATACACTTTTGTAAGGCTAGCCACACCTTGTCACGTACCAGTATAAGAAAATTCATTTTCCACTTTCTAAAAGATGGAACCTTAAAAAAAATTATCCAATTTCAACAATGTGATGTCATAGCTTAAGAATAGATTAAAACATGCTATACTTCAGCACTATGATAGGTACAAAATAAGACTGATAAATATATTGGCCATATAGAGATAGGATGCACAGAATTCAATAACTAGGTACAGTGGACCTGCTGTATCTTGAACAATATCACATTCAACAGATACAAAAAATAAGGACCCCAAGGATGCCTCATAATACAAAACAAGTAAATGAAGACACTTCTTCTTTAAGACAAATCACATTTTGTTTTGATTGTTGAATCTGTGGACATAGATCAAATGGATAAAGCAAGTCCACGTTTATATTGCGATTGCTGAAAATGTCAAGAAAACCATAAAACTGTAAATTACTAGAATTCATATCTTATCACATGCTTATGTCATACAATTTTTGAACTGTTTAAAATAAGTGAAAGAGTCTACTGGTTCAAATAACACCATAAAAACTTTGCAAGACGACCCAGCCATCTCTCATATCAAGAACCACAGTTTCAGGCACAAGATAACAAGGACAATAGAAGTGGTACATTGGCCACAACCTTTAAAACAATGCAGGAAACAATTTAGAAACTGACTTTCACCTGTGCAAGAAAAGGGAACCCCATCAGTCTTATCTCCATTACCAACCCCCAAACCCTCTAAGAGTCCATGAGGCACCGGCAAAAGTTTCTTAATGTAGCATTGCCCTTTGCTTTCAGAAGCTCTATGAGCTGTCAGCTTCAGAATTTTAAACTGAACACCATAATTTCATACAACTGCAACAGGTACACCTTTCAATCACTCCACACTTATAGGGAGAAGGGAAAAAAAAACTAGTAAAGAGACCTCATTAGGCCAAGCAAGAAAAGAAAATGCTCAATACTCTCAAAACCCATTCAAACAAAGAAAGCGTTAACACTTACAAGAAAGACAACCAAGAGTAAGAACTGGCAAGGAAAACTAGAAGTGCCAACTATAATTCACTGAGAAGAACAAAAAAACGAAAGACATGCCATCTTTATCTTTGACCAGACGCCTTCTCACAAGAAAGATCAAGAAGGAATCATAAGACAAACACATTCAAACTTTCTCATTCTTGCTCATTTATGGCCCTTTCTCAGTCTTCATTCATACAAAGCACTCAAGCAATTCTTTCAACAACCAGCAAAGTCCTCTCCATTCATCATTCCATGCATCAGTCTGACAACCAGGGGACATTAAAACAATTTTGAAATCTTTATCACTTGACAACATCCAATATGACAGCATTCAAATTTCAGGCCAATCAACCATACAGTGACAACAATATTTGAAGTGAAATTATACAAAAATTATTCCACATGATAGGACATGAACCTCTTCCGTGCCTTCTTTCAAATTTTCACTGTTCATGGATACTTTTCTACTTTTTCAAGCTCTTTTGTCAAATCACAAATTTTCTCATTGTCCTTCGAGACTCGAACGGATGGTACCGTCTGAAGTGTAGTAGAAAAAAGATAACAAACCTGCGCGTAACCATCCTCATCATAACCAGCACCAAACTGATAGGAGCCCTGAGACCCGTGTGTATAAGGTGAGAAGTCATAGCCTGCTCCTCCTCCCCTTGCATGCCCGGAACTGGATTGCTGGAAGTGGGGTGAACAGGGTTTTTTTGTTGTTTTGTTTTTTTGCTTTTGCTTTTCTTTTACCTTATTTTTTTCTTAAAGATTCTGGGCACTATCAAATGAATCGAAGACATGATCTTAATTTTGCCTTTGAGGAGCTAGAGTTTGTATGAAAAGTCGCACCCACCAATCCAGTCTATCAGCCAGTCCAAGGCAGTAGTGTGAAAAAAACCTTCCTCTGTGGCAGTGGCAAAGGACCTATCAATTGACCACTATGCACCAGTGCTTCAACTTTGCTTAGCAAAGTGGGAGAGGAATGCATTCATACATCATTCATTTTGACAATGCTGGTTCAGGCACACAAAACATCCACCCATCAATCATACTGCTGTCAAGCATACACACACATCCAATGAATCATACCAAAAAATGCATTCCACACACTCAAAACATTCTTTCTACCGTAGCACTTCTGCCACTATCACACCGTTCTCAAAGGCACACTGATACTGATATATATAATACAGAACTCATTTTGAGGTCTATGCCTCATATTGGTGACAGGGACCACCGACATAGTTAAATATCTTAACAAACCAGAGGTACAACCCCCTAATCAACTATTAAACATGACACAAAAGTAAAATCATCGACAAGTTAAGTATAACAATGTCTCAAACACCCTTAAACCTTTTCAAACACAGTAGTCTCCGCCTGAGATCCCTGTGCTTCGGAGGGGGGAAAATGCAGGATCTTAGGCGAACAGGATCTTAGCCGACACACCAGGGGCAGAATTAAGGACCAAAACCGGTAAAAATCATCTCCCCTCACTCTAAAACGGGTGGAACCAGAGGGTGAAAAAAAGAATCGAACTTCACTTTCTTAGTGCAAACGTCCAAAGCAATCATACACCCTATAGACATGTGCAATTTAAATATCTGGCATGTTAATTCTCATACACTTCACATGCAATAGGAAGTGTGTGCAGGTACGTACTTCTGGTATTTCCGTTTTTACTTGGTTGGCTAGGGCCTTGTCTCAGGCTTGTCAATGAACCATCCTTTTAGTTTCAATTTTAGTTTCGCTGGTTTTGGGTTTTTTTAGCCTTAGACTTGTAGCCTGATAACTACAGTTTCACTTTTGTATAGCTTCAGGTTCATTGCTTTTTTACTCCTAGCTCAGGGAAAACAATTCTTAATCTGGGAGTTTTTGTTCTATTTCGGGGGTTTTTTTCCTGTAAAACCGGAACAGGTTCCACCTGGATGGGTTTGAGAAAGAGTGGTCAACTTCGATGACCAATCACAGTGGCATGAGGCATTCCATTTTCACTAATTATCTTAAAGTGAGCCTCAAGATCTACCCGTATCCAGTTGCCCCTCCCTCCCCTTTACTTTACCAGTTCAAAATTGATAGCTTTCAATCTCTGACCGGGCTCCCCTGCCTTTGTCGTTACGAACCATTACATTGTAACCACACCAGGCTTGCCAACTTTTGAGATACTGAATTCTGGAATTTTGATTGCTCCTGAGCGCCACGGACACATACTTCTGTGATAGGCTAATAAAAAAAAACAACCACCCATACCACAAAAACAGCTCAAACAAACGAGAGGGAGGGAGGGAGGGAGGGAGGGAGGGAGAGAGAGAGAGAGAGAGAGAGAGAGAGAGATGAGAATGTAACAGTACAGCTACTGCACATATTCCTTCGTCCTCAGCATTTCAATGCCTTTTCTAAGAAAAAACTTTTTTTTTTTTTTTTTTGGGGGGGGGGGAGACATCGCGCGACGTTGGCAATTCTGGAATTTCCTGAAAAGTTCAGGAAGGTTGGCAAGCCTGCCACACCCATTAAAATTCAAAATGTCTAGCAAATTCAGGAGTAGAGACAACTGCTACAATGGTCAAGGAAGCATTCAGTTCGATCCCGCCAGAAAGAAATGATGTTAGTATAGGTGGAGAGCCCAGACACGAGTACGATGTTTGGGGGAAAACAAAACGCACAAGAGTGGCTGATCTTACATGCGAAGGGCAGTTCAATTATCTCAACTTTTCAAAAGGTTGATTGGCTGTGCTCACCCGTGGTTTTGTTCCATAAATTATAATCTGAAATGCGGGATCTTACCCGAATGTAGGCCTTCAGAGTGAATCAGAGTGATATCTTAGGGTTGATTTTTTTTTGGTTTTGTTGTTTTAGTAAGGGTTTACGGCGCTCGGCTCATAAGGGAGATATCAACCAAGAAGTCTAAACAGGGAATCACGCTTACTCTGCTCACCTCTCTAGCCTCAACAGCACAAAGTCTGCTTCGACCATCAAGGCACCCCGTAAAAAACAGTTCACAAGAGAGTGGCAAACATACAAAAGACGTAGAGGAAATGACGATAGTAAGGGAGTGATGAGGAAAGAAAAAGCAGCAATTCTCACTGTTGTTCCGCCACAGTATGAGCACGAAACTGATAAATCAGCCCATTTATAATTCTACTGTTCATAAGAACATGTTAATATCCCCCTTTTTAGACTTGTTAGTGTAGTAAAAATTATTTTCTTAAAATTAAAAATGAATGTCATAAGGGATCCAGGATCGTAAGCGGTGGGATTTTAGGCGGAGACTACTATGCTGCAACATGTTTTCATATAGAGCAAAATAATGAGCATGAACTCTAGAAAATGACATCAAAATAATCGCCCAGTGCGCAGAAAAACCCTGCATATCCCCCCCCCCATCATATTTCTTATTTGCTTCGCCTGGTTAAGGCACATTCTATAAAGTTTCAAAGAAAATAAACCATAATAATTATCTCTATAGATTTTTTTCAAGGACAAAGCAACAGATGAGTTTTTTCAACAACAGATAAAAACTAGAACAAAGGGTCATCTCATAACTGTTATTCATCATTAAGAACCAGCAAGCCAATGTAAAAACAGAAATGGTACAGGTGGAGAAAAGCAAAACAATTGCAATTTTAACACAGGACAAAAAGTCCGCTACAAAAATAAAAAACCAAAAAAACTGGAGGAAAGATTTCCAAATTTCATCCCTTGTGATTGGAACCAGAATAATACCGAAAGTCAGCTACAATCTACTATTACCAGAGAGTCATACGATATTTTCCTGTATTGAGGGGGAAAAGTAATTATCACAAGCATAAAAAATATAATAAAGCGCACATAAACGTACATTTCAAAGCAGGACAGCTGGGAAAAAAACAAGAAAAGATGCTGAATTGAACCTCTACAGCATTTTGAACCTGAACAGTTCAAATGTTTCCCCCCACATAAACTAAACAAACTAAAAAGACACAAAGAACAACCTGAAAGCCATCAATTCTTACCTTAGAATTTGGGATGGTCACATCGCACCACCTGCCATCAATCATGTGGCGCTGAGCGCAGCATTTTACTTGAGATTCATAGGCGGTGAAGCGGATAAATCCAAAGCCCTTTGACTGACCTGTTTTGATGTCCCTCTTAACCTGTCAGCAAACGAAAGACCAATAATACACTACTATTGAAAAACATCAAACCCTGCAATAAAGTGTACCAAAGTGAAAGAGTGATAATCATACCACTTTTTCTCATTTTAAACAAACCTTTGCGTACATCACACATCTGCTTATCCCTATGTAAATCAAATTACTTCAACGATAGGCGAGTGCAGAGGCAGCAGACTTATTTATTCCTCGTATCTGTAACTAGTAAGATCCTGGACCAAATTCTCATCCTAATATCATGTCACATGTTAAAGCAGCTGTCTTCAAAAAGACCAGCAGCGTCAAGAGGTAGCACTCCTTAGAAATTTAATACAATATACTGCTTTTACACAAGGCTGTCCACCCACCATTTTTAGTAATCAGCAGGAAATTGAAAAATTAGTAATCTGGCTTTAAAATATGTAATATGGCCAGGTAAGTCTTTATTGTGTTTGGGACAGGCATCGCAGGTTAAAGGATGAATATGTCGTTAACAAAGACAAGCTCAAAGGTGTGTACGTGTGTGTAGCAATGCCAATCGGGCTTTCCCGCGAGGCGAAAATTTGGTCCCCGTTTACGGGCGATTTTGCGGACCCGGCCGAAGCGTAGGTGACTAACTTTGTCAACCTCGGTCTGCTCTATTTCCGAACCAATCCGAATGAAACTCGGCTACCAATCAGAAAATAGGGCAAACTAATGATATGTGGACGTTGAAGTTCGTACACATAAATTAACCTATACTTTTGGTGTCGGGAACACTTTCGTATCGTGTACACCGAAAACTATAAGGAGTTTGAATTTCAACGCCCAGATGGTAATAGATCTATCTATCCTCTATAGTGTGCTCAAATTTGAGAGTTCTGTGTCAAGTAGTTGTTTAGACCCGATCGTAAATCTACGACTACCCCCCTATCCAAAGCGGCTTCGCACGGAGACCGCCATTTTCCCCTCACTCCCGTGGCAAATGTCTGTGACCTACAAATCCCCGCATGACTATTCCGGGCCCGTTCATTGGTCACTTGAAATAGGGCAATGGCGGGCGGGCGCGCGCATCCGGTTGTTTTTCTCTCTATTCCCCTGTAACATCGCAATGGGGGTATTCCGAGGCGAGGTTATCTCGTCTCGGGGTGTTCGCGTCTCAACGGGGAAAAAGAATTTTTAATTGTACGGCATGCTAGATTGAATTAACTTATCTTTTACGGTTGGCATGGTCTAAAGTCATCATAAAAAGCTTTGCAATTATTTAGTCACGCTGCCTACATATATTCTTAAAGATCCCATGTTGTGATACGATGCTATAAATAACATGGACTCATCCCGACACCCCTTTTCGCAAAATCGTAATATGTACACCACAATTTTAATTATAACAAAATAACTACGAAATTGGTAGTAAATCTGACTGCAGAAATGATTTCTACACTCAAAAACACATCGGGTAGCCAAGTTTCTCTCGAACATTTGGATTAGTTACCGAGATATCGTCGATTTTCTTACAGAATCTGCTACTGCGTGGTCCACTTTTTAGGAGTATTTTCCTATATATGGGTCATCCATATTTTGCCGACCTTTACAACCCCATAACTTTTTTATTTATGAACCGTTTCTCAAAATTCAAGAAGCATAATTATCAGAATTGAAAATTCTTTCTTAGGTACCAAAAAAAAGGGGGCAAAAGTGAAAATTTAAATTTTCATTGGCATTGCTAGTGTGTTTGTGTGTGTGAGAGAGAGAGAGAGAGAGAGAGAGAGGCATAGTCACTTTATTTTAGTGGGGGGAAAAAATAATAAATTGAGGGGCTGAAGGTCCATGCGTGTCCCAGCTGATAGCTTTAAGTATCAAACATTGATCTGTTGGGGTTTATATTTTACCTCCACTACACAAATGCAGGAACTTTTTAACACTTCGTCAAACTCAAGTTTGCCTTGCCCATGGCTTTGGTGTAACATGTTTTTCTAAGGGCTAAGTGGCACTGAGGGACTACAAGGGCCCAGTGCACAGAGGAAGGTGCCAAGAGTTAGCTGCTTGTAACATGGTTTAAGTAAAGTGTCAGGGTGGATTTTCTACTTTAAACTCCAAGAAGGTGGGGTAGCCGAACAGAAAATAAATTTCGAACAATTGGAACAATGGTGTATTTTCCTAAAATTAGATAAAAATTTTAACAATTCCACAAGTTGCAATGGTGTACATATCCTTCCCTTGTTGGTAATAAGTATGGCCGAGACAGAATAATGACAACAAAATGGCTCCTCTGCCTACTTTTTCAATCGTCAGTAACCAAAAAAAAGGGGGGACAGAATATTAGTAAATGACTTGCACTTGGACTGAATTGACACCCCCCTTACAAGCACACACACAAAAATTTACCTGAACCAGCAACAGTTCTCCAAACTGGGAGAAATATTTTTGCAGGTCATCCTCAGTGCTCTTCCATGGCAGACCAAGAACAATGAGGTCAGAGCACTTCTGTTGATCCAAGCGTTTTGTTTTTGCAGCTGGATTATCAAAGCCATCTTCTCCTTTTCTTTTGTTTTCTACTGTTGAACATCAAACAGAAAAAATATTGAATATTACTGAGATGGAACAATTGAAATGGTAAACAGCAAACACATAAAAATAGATCGGCGGAAAAATAGGAACAATGCCTGTCTCATAACAGTTAGCCGTAAAGTTACTTAGCAACCATTTTGCCAAAACCTACAGAAGGCATTGCCAAAACGTGGTGAAAAACACAGATCTCACATTAGTGAGCATAAAATGTGAAAAATGGAAGTCTTCTTCAGTGCTTCCACCAGCTAAAGCTAAAAAGTTAGGAAAGTTCGAGGGGGGGGGGGGGGGGGGGTCCCCCTGTGGCACCGGCCCCCCGCAGGGTCTAGGGACAGTCTCAGTGGTGGGTTCAAGGGGCAAAACCTGCAAAGAAATTGAAATTTAGTGCTTTGGTAAATTATTACTTTCACTCCCGCACACAGATGCACTGCTTCGGGGGGTTAGCATGCCCTGTAACCCCCCAGATTTTCTTTTACCTCAGGGGGGGCAGACCCCCTAGAACTTCAGTAGATATCTATGCTGTCTCAGTTTTTCCCGTTTTTAATATCTCTCAATGGAGAATCTCGGACCGGTAGATCTATTCATTAAAATTTTGTCAGGGGGGAGACCCTCCACCCCAACAACCCCACTTTCTCGCGCAATAATGTACGAGTGGTCCGGTATTCTTCAATCTTCCCCTCATGTTTTTTTTTTTTTAACAGAGGTAATTAATAATGATGGAGGAACAAGTACGGAACTGGCAGAAAGTACAAATTTCTGTAAAGATACGGAAGAGTGGAACTATTCTTTCGAGTTCCTCATGTCTAAGTGCGCCGTCAAAGTGGGTCAATTTGTTCTATAATTTCATTGGACAAACATCTAGAGCTACCAACTTGGCGTGTTTTGAATGAGATGTGTGCCTCGGTAACGAACCAACGCAGGCGGTTCTAGAAGAAGGCCACAAACTTAAACTTAAGCAGACTGACGAACACAGACTTGAGCGGCGTGAATGCGGATCCGACACAGGACTCGAATTGCAGGCGAAATCGAAGTGATTATTCGGACTCGAGTTCGAATATATATATGAAAAAATGTTATTCGGATTCTGATTCTTGTCCAGCATGACATCACTTCCGACTTCCTGTGACTCGTGAATCCGGCTTCCTGTCCTGCCTCACTCGTGACTCACCTCAGGCTGGGTAGAGACCGGGATCACTTCGGGCTTTCCCCCCCGCAACTGATCATTATTACAATAATAAGCTAGTCTTGACGTAGATCTACGTAATGAATTGTGCGCTGGTCTATGAAATCCAAAAGTTGCCGTATGCTCAGCTCTACACAGCAACACAACTTTTTCTTGGTAAACAATCGAATGACACAGGCTTGTGTATTTGGGTAAGATTGAACTTTGGTGGACCCACCATTGAGGGGGGGGCCGGAACTACTTTTGGGCGTCGTGTGATGCCATGCGCTGGTCCACTGTTCTTCCTTGGCCGCTGTGCGGCCGCCGGCCGT